AAGCGGGGCATGTCAACATTATTGTTCGAGTAGACAATTGAAGCATTGGGTTGAGTGTTAGGTTGCGATGCATTATTTTTGTTTTGTTATGTTGAACAGTACGTGTTCAAGTTTCATCCTTGTTTTCTGACATTTGGGACAATAATTGGGTCTATACGAATCATTACACGGATGCTTGATTTCTATGAATTAGGTAACGTTAATTGTTCTTAACGGCTGATAGATGGATAAAATAATGAATGTGGAGAATGACTTTGTGTCTTGGGTTGACTTGTATTGAAAACATTTTGATTGTCATCTTGGTTGTTGGAACTACATATGGAGTAATACTTGATTTTTGGGCACATTAGCGGTATTTTTGAACATTCAAAGCATTGTTGTTCTATATAGTTGGTTTCCATTTTTCTCGACAATTTTTAGTTAAGATTAGTTATATTAGTGAGAAGCATGTATGAAATATCTAGAAATACATGTAAATTGTCGAGTAAGATATATTGATGATTTCGTTCTCCTTTCAATATTCTTTGAGATTGACAAACTTGTTTTACGTTAGTCTTTGGTGTTAACCTATTTTTATTTTTAATATGAAATGATTTCAATGTTGTTGATGCAACTGTTATATATTTCGGAGGAAGAGCGTGTTCATGCACATATATTCCAAATCAGTAAATTGAAGTACGAGTAGACCGTATTCGAAAACTTCGATGCCCAACAAAAAATGATTTCAAATGTATATTCAATTGCTACAGTGTTTTGAACTATTGAGAATGAAAGTTTCAAGGGTTGAATTTAAGAATGCACATAACTTCTAAACAATTTGGTTTCTCTTCTCAAAAGAACGTAAAACTTCAACTTAGTAATTATTAAGTACATAATTGTTGAGTTACATCGTCATGGTGTATAACATTCTCGATGATGTAACACTAAGCCAAAATGGATTATATTACTACATAATATATGATTAATGGCTATGCACAAGCTTCAAAATCTTAATTTCATTATATGAGATTTTCAATTTAATTTAAATTTAATAAATAAAAAATAAAACAAGGTAGTAGTAATTGGAAGTTCTTTATCCCATCTCGCATAATTAAGCAGGGATGGAAATGAGGCGGGGAAATCCCTTGGAGGATGGTGATAGGGAATGATATGTTTGTCCTGTACATGTCCATTTTCATTCCTATGCTTGTACGAAGAAGTGAGGGACAATGTGAATACGAAAAAGTTTTGAGGTCTATAAAATTAAATGGAACTTACTCCCCTGGTTTGTAATGTAATGCATTAATTTAAAAAAAGAAAAAAAAAGTCAACTATGTCACAAAAAAAAAAAAAAAAAAAAAAAAAAAAAAAAAGAATATATATATATATATATATATATATATATATATATATATATATATATATATATATA